AGAACATAAAAACCATTCACAAAAATGTCGCCGAATGCTTTAAAATGGTACTGATATTTGAGCTTACAAGTTAAGATTACTGTAGTTTTATTAAATATTAATAAATCTTAGATATTAATCTCCTGGACTTAGAATGTGATAGGATTATAGATCAAATGTTAATGTTACATGCATTTGTTAGACTCTACAAAATAATATTGTCTGTGTTTCAATAAACACGCTGTGCTAAAACAGTAAATATAAACTTGACCTCTTGTCTGCCACACTGATTTAGAGTAAAATTTTTCTGTTAAAGAATATTGCTCATTTTTAATGTGACAGCTATAAGCCTTACCATAATGAGGGATTAGCCTCATTATGCCAGAAACAACTAAATATACAAACGATGCTATGACAGAGTTTAATTTGACCAGGAAATACAAGGGCATAAAGAAGTAAATAGGTAAAAGGTCATAGACAAAGTGATTAATATTGATACATTTGTAAAGATGAGAAGCCTCTGTACATCTTCCTCCTTTTATTGATTTCATCTTGGACAGTCAACAGGATGCAAAGTGCAGAGCCTAACTTACACAGAAGCTCCTTGGAAAGACACATAGCAGCTGCACAAGATTCCTAAGAGCTGAGCCTACTTAGCAGCCTTCTGCTTCAGAGACTGATGGAGCCAATAATACCCCAGAGTGTTCAGCCCTTCAGAGGGGCCTCAACAAGCTGGAGAGATGGACAGAGAGAAACATTCTGAAATTCTACAGAGGCAAGCACAGGCTGGAGGCTTACCTGCAGGAAAGCAGCTCTGCAGAGAAGGAGCTGGGAGTCCTTGTGGACAACAACGTGCCCATAAGGCAGCAGAGTGTCCTTGTGACCAAAAAAGCCAATGGGATCCTGGGGTGCATAAGGAAGAGCATTGTTGCCAGCAGGTTGAGGGAGAGGATCCTGCCCCTCTACTCAGACCTGGTGAGGCACATCAGGAGTGAAGTGTCCAGTTCTGGGCTCCTCAGGGCAGGAGAGACATGGGGCTCCTGGAGCAGGTCCAGTGGAGGGCAAGAGAGATGATTAAGGGATTGGAGCATCTCTCTTGTGAGGAAAGGCTGAGGGAGCTGGACCTGCTCAGCCTCAAGAACAGACATCTGGGAGGGGCCGCTTCAATATCTATGAGTATCTGCACAAAGGGTCTCAGAGGATGGATCCAGGCTCTTTGTGGTGCCAAGCAACATGTCAAGAGGCAAAGGGCAGAAACTCTTTCACAGGAAGTTCCACCTAAATCTGAGAAGGAACTTCTTTACAGTGTGGGTGACTGAGCACCAGCACAGATTGCCCAGAAAAGTTGTGGATTCTCCCTCACTGGAGATATTCAGGAACTATCTGGACACAAGCCTGTGCCGTGTGCTCTAGAATGACCCTGCTTTAGCAGCGAAGTGGGACCACATGACCCACTGTGGTCCTCTTCCAACCTGACCCATTCTGTGATTCTGGATGGTCAAAACTATTACAATTAGTTGTTAGGCCAATGAGTGGATACCATCAAATAGACCTTTCAGCTTGCTATCTTTATACGATTACGTGTTTCAGGTTCAATTTGAACATTTTTATATCTAGTAAAATCAAGTATCTACAGAATTAAAAATTGATTTGTACTTTTGCATTATACTTTTATGTGAAGAAGCAGTAGGGAACCAGCAGCCATTGTGCTGAATTTATAGACAAGAAATGGTCTTTTTCTTCTTATGTGAACTAGTGGATTCAGCTGTAGCCTGGAGCTTCATATTTCACATTCATTGTAAATGATTGCTGTTTTAAACCATTGGTTATGGTTTATTTATAGAATAATACATAGTTCACAATTAAATGCCAAGTTATAATTGAATCAAAGGATTCTTCTGCTGATGCCTTGACTCACAAGGGTGCAGCTCAAGAGCTTTAGAAAGGGCAGCAGAGTCTGAATCCAAATTACAGCCCCCAGTATTCAGTCTGGGATCAGACATTATAATGTGTAATAGGGCTAAAAGGATTATTATAATACTGCAGTAAATAAAAAGAAAATGTATCAAACAGCAGAATTCAGGATGCTTGCAGGGGCATTCAGTTTGTGATGTGGGAGGCTAAAGATTATACTGCATAGAAATAAAGCTAGAGGAAAAGCATTTTGTAAACACACATGTTCTTAAAAAAATTCTGAAGTTATTCTTAAATAAAAGGAAAATCTATGTTTCATAGTCAGTGAATGCATAATGCTCTCTAACATGGGAATAACTGGTTGATTCCAGGTGCCACATAGCCATTTTCATAGCCAAAATAGGGCAATAACTTTGCTAGAGAAAAAAAAAAATACATATTCACATCTTTGATGGGTTTGTGAAAAAGCTTTCAAACATTAAATATAAATTTAGCTAACCATAAGAAAAATAATAAAAAACCTCTCGCATTTCTTTCTAGTACAAATTGTCTCATGAAAATGGTTCACAGATCCAATTCACAAAGACAATGTTAATTTTGTTGTGGAGAAAACCTGACTGATAAGGCATTCAATTCTTAGGCTAAAATGAAGATAGATACAGATATCTAATTAATACAGATACTTTGTCATTTTAAAATGTGCTTTCTTAAAAAACTTTTAAAGATTTTTTGTTTATACTGTCTGCTAATTTATGGTTTATCTGTTGGGAGGAAAAGCAATCAACATTTTGTTGTGTAGATATTTAATCCATTGGATCTTTACCCTGGTTCCTCACACCAGGTTGTATTTAGTCCAGCAATTCCCTAACGAGGCCACGGTAACTTTGCAGAACAGCTAATGCTGTGGTGCCTGTCATGTGCCTTCCAAAGTGTTACTGCATTTTCCTCTAGCCCTCTAAACTGGAAGAGATTAAACAGTGGACTATAAAGGCATTGGTCAGACCTCAGGACAGAATTTCTCTGTGGATTTAGGCTACAGTTCATTTCAGATCTTACTGAAATTGCAAGCATTCAAGACTTAGAACTTTGTCAGATGTATATTTATTGAACAGTTCATTTTGAAAGAGTGGAGAAGGGTTGGTAATTTGTTTTCTGATAATTTTCAATCAATCTAACATCTATGTAGAAAATAAAATGCAAAGTCTTATCACATAGAGAAAATATTTATTTTTAATAAGAAGTTCAGAAAAGTCAGCTTTTCACTGGCATTTTTTTACTACTAAACATTTAATGCTGAATTGAACTCCAGTTCTGAATTATACATAATATAGGCATTCTATCTTTTCTTATATTCCCATTGTCAAAGTCCAACTGAAGTCCTAGGACACTATTTCCAAAACTACCTTTCCAACAATGTCTAGTAAATGCTGAAAAAAACCAAGAAGTCATTCAGTTAAATCACAGTGTTGATATAGAGGAAAAACTGGGTGGATCCACAGATAAAATATTTATATGAAAAGGTGTATGATACAAAACAAAGAGAATATAGAAACTATCTCTGCTTAAAGAATAATGGGAGACTAAGGAAACGTGACAGTCTTTCTCTTGGCTTCTTTTTTTAATGTTAATTTTAAGTTAACTTTCACTTTTCCCCTCTGGCAATATTATGAAGGGAAAGAACAAAGAAATACATTCCATTTGTAAAATTTATGTTAATAAATTTAGGAAACTCAGTAGATTTGGCCAGGTAGAGATTTGTGAAAGGAAAACAAGACAGGTTACAGGGAGCTCTACACTCAAAAATACCCATAGAAAGGACAATGGTGAGGCAGGACAACATTTAAAGAGGATTAGATTTTTTACTTCTATCTCAGCAATGTTAGGAAACAGTGAGAGAGGTGGTATGTAAAGATGAGAGACTGGGGGAAGAGCTTACTTTTGGAGAAGCTCAAAAATAAGGTGGAGCATGTAGTTTATAAGTATTTGAGACTCAAAATTAGGAAAATATAGTGCTTTAATTATGCTGGAAAGGTACTTGCTTCAATAAAAAATGTTATTAAAATAGGCTTTTGATGCAGTATATTGGCCAAGACTTTCCTGTCTGCATTGTAATGGAGAGTGTGCATTCCAGGGAACTATCTGTCACAGATATGAATGTTGGTTCTGTTTGGTTTTGCTTATGTTGGATAGTATGCAAAATATCTGGAAACATTTGGTAAAGAATACAAAATACAAACACAAAAAGAAAAACATTTCTAAAGAGCTCCATTCTCAATGAGATATTTACATTATGGATTTCCAAAAATGCTGTAATGTAGTAAGCCCCTCTGAGAACAATTTGAAAACCTATAAATTTCCCCAAAGTGCCAAGTAAAAATCTGAGAGCTCATGATAGCCTTCAACAAGTTTTTTGCCTTTTTTTTTTAAATATTCTATCATTTTATTATGTGAGAATGAAAGGATTCCCATACGAGCAATGCTTCATTCATTTCTGCAATACAAAGACTGCCACCCCAACAAGTGACCCCATTTTGAATGGTTTACACAGGAAGAATCTTTACCAAAATCTTTTTATGTCAACCACTTATCACTGATACCTGAAACAAGACACTAACAAAACAGGAGAGAACATATGATGGAAGTACTCTGTCTCTCTCAGAGAGATAGTAGAAGATTAAGGAGTTACACCACAGAAAGAGGAAATTTGTTAAACCTCTTAATCACGGTTAAATGATGCATTAATTCAATTTAATCCAAACTTCTCTGTCTTATTTTGACAGATTAATCCAAATTAATTTTTTTTACCATTATCATTTAACCGAGTCTTCCATGGAAGCTTTTTCTTTGATTCTTAATTTACAAGTAATTCTGATCTGTATTAATTTAACCAAGTGTTTTTCAGTGTGAATGAAACTTATGGATTCAAATATTTGTAAAAAAGGAAGTAAATATTAATAGTTGAACACGGTAAATCAAAATTACTTCAACAAAGGCAAATGCAGCACACTTTTTGTGTTGTTTACCCTGCTGCTGAATAAACCCTCTTCACATTGTTTGTGTTATGCTGGGCAGAGCCTGTAGAATATTTCTCTGCTGGCTGGACTTACCTCCCCTTCTGTGGACTCTAAGTGCAGTTCTTTCCTACAGGTAGCCTTTAAGTCTCCTGCAGCTGCGTTGACTTGCACTCCCCTGGGTGCTTCCATCACCAAAGATCTAGTAGGAGATTCAAGTCTGAAAGCCAAAAACAATCACTGAGAAAAAAAGCACTGAATTGAACCAACAAAAACTTCCCAGCCTCAAAACTCACGATGCAGGTAGATGCTAACATATTTTGAAAGGTAACAAGGGAAAACCAGATTCTACATGTGATTCTATGACTGTCTTTTGTGACAGAGAGAAAGAAAAAAGTTAAGCATTTAAGGATTTACTGATATAAACTTATCTGTTTAGTGATGCTTTCTGGCACTAGCACTTAATGCATCCAACTGTACTAATACTGAAATATAGGTACTTAAGAATCTTCACATCTCTGTTAATGCTTCTGTAATTACAGTTTAATGCTACAATCTTCTTAGTGACTGATGAAAAATGCTTAACAAAATAAAGAGAAAACAAAACCTTTAAATGTTTTAAATTATGTGAAACTGTTTAAAATCACATTGCCTTGACAGACTCATTCATGTTCTGGGTATGTTTAGCAGCTTCATGTATGAAGAGAGGGAAAGAAAATCAGTTATGTTGCTGCTGTTTGGGGGGTGTTGTGTGGTTTTTTTTTGTTCTCCAGAATACTCATTATGCTCATATAACCCTGTTAGAGTAGGGTTAAGACACACATCACTGCTTCTTGGTATCTTTACTCAAAGAAATTATTTTTCTACTGTCAGTCTTTCTTCTTCCCTATGCTCAAGATCCTTCATCAGCCTTGATGCAGAAGTATGATTCTTTCTTAGCTGTGCTTTCTCATAGTATTGTAGAAGTTTCTCTTGAAAGGGAAGTATTAATGCAAAGATTTTTTAGAAAACATGCTCACGTGCTGAATAGGGAAAATGACAGGATGAAAACTGTATTGAAGTAGGAAACAGTAATTCAGATTCTAATTCTGTTGAGTTGTAGACTTATTGCATGGCACTATGAGGGGGAGAGACAAAATTTTTGATCTATTTATAACTTAGTATTATAATGGCAGGACACAATTCCACTTTACCTGAACAAGAGCTTTTCCTAAGATGAAATATGTTAATGATAAAAATGTCTAGACTGAGCAGCTTGAAGGAAAGACTGTATTTCCCTCTTCAGCAAAGTATTAGGGTCATAGCTATCCAAAAATATAATGAGGTACTAGATGTATAATGGAGAAAGAAGTTTGACAGAGAATTTGGTGGAGAAAAGCCAGATGAAGTCTGTCAAGAAATGGAACAAGAGCATTTCAAAGTATTTCAACTATTGCATTTTTGAAGTACAGAGAACAGTACTGGATTACCATTTTAAAACCAAAGTGCCACATTTACATGCAAAGAAAGTCACTGAGATAGTTTCTGTGAAACATTTCTGTTTGTTGCATGTCACTGACACTCAACAGGGAAAGAAAAGAAATGAAAAAAAAAAATAAAAAGAAAAGCATTTATTCAGCAAACAAATGAATCTATTAGAAGCAGGTATCCAGATAGATAAAAATACAATTTATAGATACTGATATAAAAAAAATTAAAAATACATGGGGTACATATAGATAGGATCAATAGAAGAATATCTATGTCTGCTGCTGCTTGGCTATTTTTTCTTTTTTTGATGCTTTGTAAGGAGAAGTTGATAGAAGGTTCTGCAGTTCTTTGTACTGAGAAAGAATCTAAATATCATGAATTATTTAATGATATACACAAGTGCTTTTCAGGTGGTGGTTTGTGAACTTTTGATGGCTACAGGTCAGCAGAAAAAGAACTTCCAAAATACTCTATGAATTATGTAAATTATAAAGCTCAGAAATGAGGTTTCTGAGAGTACTCCATTGCCCTAATGAGGTTTTACCTTGAAGTTAAAAGGAAACTGAATAGTATAAATGTTAAATAATTTTATTCTTCCATTCCATACCTTTCAGCAGCTTATCATTGTGATTTATAACCTACTTTACAGGAATATTAACATTTCTCCATGGTTTCAGATGCCATAATCATAAAGACAAAAGTGTTAGCTACATTTATTGCATTGAATTCACGTGTCTTAGCCAAGTTACAAATATTTCTGGTTTCATAACATCCAAATCCCTCAGACCTAACTAAAACTTTTTAGCATGTGGACATTTAAAATCTGTTTAGGAACGTCGATCAAGAAACTGTGGTTTTCTTGGAAGAATAAACTTTTACCTTTTACAAAGAAAGAACTTTTTGACAGTATAGCTTAAAGTTGTTTAGTCTAGTTTCATCACAGCTTTTCATGAAGTACATTAGCATAAATAAATATATGTTTGTCTAAAAAGAAGATATTTGGGCAATTAATTTCTCAACTTGAAAAGTTGATAATATCAGCCTTCTCCACACCTTGGAGAAGAATTTGTTTTTTTAGACTATAGAGATTCTTAGCAGTCTTTGGAAATCAAATAATGTGGTAGAAATGTCAAGGAATGACTGATGAGCATCAAAGTAGATTTTAAAACCCCACCCAACTATTAGTAAAATTGAATGCCTAAATCTGTTTTACAGTTCTATTTTAGTTTTCTTATTGTTATCCTTTGGCTGTTCTGCATCTGAAAAGAGACTGCAGCATACTACTGCAAATGCAAAAGATTATAGATTATTTCCTCAATGTTTTGAGATAAATTAGGTTTTATATGCAGCTTCTTTATAATATTTTTTCTTTGCCATATTTCTGGTATCTTTAATCTCTACTATAGACTCATTGTAACACTACACATTGTAATGCTCATCCCTCCAAGGAAAAGTGTATTATTATAATAGCATATGGAGAATTTGCTTTCCTTTCAGATTTACTGATGGCCTGTCACAGTGGCACTATGAGTGACTCCTAGTCATAGAATTAATTTTTCTTTCCCAAACAAACATCTGCTTTGATGGAGAAGGTAACTAGTGCTATTATTAGATAGAAAACACAAAACTGTCATGAAGACTAAAAGGCTTTTAAAAAGAGATTTTAAATAATATAATTGGTCAATTTGCTATATGTGACGAAACAAGATGGTCTATCCACAGCAGAGAAGGACTCTTCCTTTTTAATTATCAGTGGTTAACTTGTGAAAAAAAAGATAAATTTCATAAGATCAAAGCTGTATGAATTTGAGCTGAAATAATGAAAGAATTATTGCTAGAAAAGGGAAACTTAAAATATCTTTAATATGTTCTTTTGAAGGTATTAAAATATTTCTCATCAGAAATGCAGAAACATTTTTTCTTAATTTTGTATTTTCTGTTTACAAGCTGACCTAGATTTTATTAGAAAAAAATAATTTAAAATATGAACAAAAATAAAAGGTTTCCTTTTGGGTTTTAAGCAATATTTGAGATTTATTGCCTGCATATCCCTTATACTCACATGAGATATAATTTATCTATGTTAATTTTTTTCTGTTGGCTAGCAGAAAGTATTTCTTAAAATAGAAGGAAATAGAAGATTCCCCTATGCAGAAGAGAATAATTTATTCTCTTTGTATGTATCTATTTGCTTTGTATCTATTTAAGCCATATATCTAACCCATGCTACTTACTAAAACAGCTGATATAATCCTCTACCAGTTTAGAATTCAAATTCAATTCAAAACTGTGAATTAAAGATATGTCAGCTAGAGATCTCACATGTAGAACAGGTACTCATTTCCCCTTTATTGACATCTTTATATTTGGGGGTCAAGAAATCAACACTTCCCAGTATTTAACTTTTTATACATGATAGGCTTGCCAGCATGTTGTGGTTTTTTTCAGTGAGTATAGGAACCCTTCTAGGGAAAAAAAAAAACCAAAAAAACTGCATATATAAAACCAATGGAAAGTGTACACATTTACTTGGTAAGACTTTAGTAGATTACCACAGATTTAAATAATTGTGCCTTTGATCTTGCTACCCGTAGGTCAAGTTGCGGCAGACTGCGACTGTGGGTGGGTAAGACACGCAAAGAGGAGAAGGAAGGCAAATGGATGTGCCAAATCTCTCTATTCCTCTTCCTACTCTTTTATTGTAAACAAGTACCCTCGACCACAAAGCCTCAGAGAATGCAGGATCTTCCTCTCACATGAGTGAAAGGATTTTGTTCCAAATTAGAATTAAGAATTTTTTTCAAAATAATTTTGAAAATGTTGTTTCCCAGAAAACTTCAACAATTCAAAATATGCATTTTTTCCAATTTCTATTATTATGAAAAGAAGACTTGGCTGTCCTGATCCTAAATGAAAATTATTTCCTGAGTACTCCAGTGAGACCAAGTGTCCTTAAAAGAGTCCAATGAACACTTATGGTGATAAAGAAGATTAGGCTTTCCACTCAGTCCTTTTCTTGGGTCAGGTTGCAACACAGAGAATAGTCAGCGACTTTTATGATCATGGCAACAAAAAACCTTTTTAGAGGTTTTTATTAAGATATTGTAACTACTCAAACAGTGGATTCCTGAATAGCTACATTTGACATCACAGTGGCAATCATATGAAAATAAAATTATTATTCAATCATTCCATCCTTATACTATTTACAAGGTTATACATGCACATTTTACCATATATATATATGTGATTAAAAATATTTTGATACATTTGCATGTATCAAGATGCACACTTCAAGATGCATATGAATAATTGCCAGAATATTTATATTTCTTAAAGCTTGTTGTATTCTGATGCTTTTAACAAATCACTTATATTTTCAGGATTTTTTTATTATTATTATTATTGAAAAGAAGGGGTAAATTTGAAGGCCTCAACATTCTTAATATTGTTTACTGATCATCAGCTTTTTTTTGTTAAGAAGCAAAATTCTTATATATTCATCAGAAACTTTTATTTACATGAAAACTTAATCTTGGGCATGATTTGTCTCTAGTTTTTTGACAACACACGCAACTTTTACGTAACAGAGAGTTAGATAAGTGTTTTTGAAATTAGTACTGGCCTGAACCAGTAAATATTGACCTTTTTGTTCTCCCACTTTCCAACTGTGCAACTCATGGATTATAAATTTAAACAAAGAGGAAACTTTCATGAATTAAATCAGAATAGCAAAATGCATTCAGTACA